TTAACCTAAGATATCGGAAATAAATTAATAGTAATAAGTATATGCATGAAAGACAAAAGTTAAACTTATGGAAAAGCCAGGATAACGGGATGAATCACCACCAGGTCAAATATAAATACATAATAAAAAAAAAACAATGTTAAACCCAGGGTCGGAGAGAAAGGGAGATCCCGGCCGTCTTTGTATCCCCGCAGCGCGGGATAGGAGTGTGTATACGCTCGGGGAAACCTACACTTGAGTCAAGCACCACGATGGGAAACGACAGACCTTAGGTTACATACAGAATCATAACTGTGAAATAGTAAGGGACAAATGTTAACTTAAAACTTTTAACCATTTCTTTGTGCGCCGGGTCGGAGAGAGTGTTGCCCCCCTCCAGGTTGTGCAACACGAACAAAGACGCCTATGAGACGATTTGTAACGTCTGTGTTTTGGGTTCATGAAGAAGGCCAGACAAGAGATAAATTGCACCCAGACAGAGAGACGACTTCGAGACAATTTGTAACATCTGGTTGTTTGCTCGTGGGTTTTATGGAGGGAGTTGACAACGGAATATACCGTCAGTGATGCACACAAGGACATACGGACACACACATGGACACACCTGCCTACGGACAGATCCTGACACAGCAAAAATCGGAAGCCCCGCCTTGTGGGCGGGATCCAGGGGGATTTTTCAGCATAAAGGAGCGGGTCCACTCAGCAGGAGTGCGACGGGAGGGTCCACTCAGAAGCTCGACCGGGAGGGTCGACTCAGCAGGAGTGCGACGGGAGGGTCCACTCAGAAGCTCGACCGGGAGGGTCGACTCAGGAACGAGTGCGACCAGAGCGGGTCCACTCAGGAGTGCGACCAGAGAGTCGACTCAGGAGCGAGGGCGACCAGCGGGTCGACCCAGGAGCGAGCTCGACCGGGAGGGTCGACTCAGGAGCGAGCTGCGACCAGCGGGTCGGCTCGACTCATCTTCAGCTCGTCAATCTCTGCTGCCGCCGGAGATCTCCGCTGCCGCCGGTGGGGAGCGTCGCGACTTGGCGACGATCCAGCGCTGCACGCTACGAGCGAGTTGTGGGCGCCACCTACCGACCGGGTTCCGAACTGCGACAGCGTATCAACAGCCATCCGAGCCAATTCACCACGGTGACAGGAGAGCGCCTGATACGTATGACGCGCACCGCCCCCTCACCACACGACCACCAGGCGTCTGTTTGACATAAAGAATCGACTCCGAACACTGACTATTCAAGACAACTCTTACCACTCAAACACACTCGAACCCATAAGTCATCCGTGGCTGGGAAGGCATCACAACGAGACCGAGTGGTGGCCTCCGTCGTATAAGAGTATTCTTAATTTTTATCTTTAATATTTAGTGGGCTGTACTCTTAATCGCATAAATTCCCAACAGATCCATCAATACGAACTGATTCTTGGCACCTCCTTCCGCCGAGCCACGCTCACGTGGGGAGTGGTGGCCACCGGATCCTTATCAGGTGATCTGGTCCCCAATTAGTAAACTTGGTATAAGATAACGATCTTCGGAAAAGGAGCACCGTCGCAGGCCCTTACTCCGAGCCGTTCTGCTGTCAGATAACCTGCCGATGTATCTGTTGAGATTGGTGCCTTTAAGAATAGTAACTGTTTTGATTGTGTTTTTTTTTTTATCGCCGTATAATCTTTCAAGTATCTTTCAGTCATAATCGCCGCACGTACTCGCATCCTCTACAGAATATTCAACTGTTCCGTGACCCAAGGTGTTAACAACGTGATAAGGGTTGCGTATGATCAATAAGGAGTGCGGTACTGCGTGAACAATATTGAGTATAATCATTTATTAACGTTAAGGTTTTCTTAGCATAGTATTTGCACGTTTTAACGACTCTCTCTCTCACTAACAACCATCGCGTTATGCGGGATCCATGTGCCGTTGTCAAAGTGAAATCAGACAATCGTTGATGATACTGTATTGATGCCGTATTGACGTTCCGGGATTGAGAGTTCGCATACTATATCATAGTTAAGGTTGAATTAGTAATAAATTGATCAATACAGAAGTGGTTGTGTGATTCTTTCCTGAAATCTATGCATAAGATCTGCTTCTGCGTTGAGATTTGAACTTGGTGACCTTAATAAACACACTAATACATACTCAGTAAATGTTAAAGCGATAACGGGGTGAACCGGGGTCTGGTTATCATAACGACTTGCGTTATCATAATTACACCCACTCGCATAATTAATACGATTACCTATCGAATTGGCATAATTAAAATGTGCGTAATTACATAATTAACATATTTTCGGATAATTACACATTTGGCCAGATTTCATTTAATTATTATTATTTTCACTGAATATTCATAACCCACATATACAACATAATAATTTCACCCACGCACGCATACAACATAACAAATTTTCATAACCAACATATACAACAGAGTGGAGAGTTTCCCATACCTGGGCAGTGTGCTTATGACCGGCTCCAGTCTATCAGCAGAGGTCTCACTCCGAATCAGTCGAGCGGCAATATCTTTTCATCGGTTGCGTAACGCTGTGTGAAGCTACCTGGTCTGTCGCTCCGCACGAAGCTTCAGGTCTTCTCGGCCACGGTCATTCCCTCCCTTCTCTACGCTTGCGAGACGTGGACCCCCCTGGTGGAGCATCTTCGCCGGTTGGAAACATTTAGGCTGGCCTGCCTACGATCCATCCTGGGTTTAACCAGGCTGGATTGTGTGAGGAGCTCACAAATCCTTGAAAGATCTGGGCAAAGTCCCATCAGTGAGCTCCTCCGGCAGGCAAGGCTGCGTTGGCTGGGTCATGTAGCCCGCATGCCCAGCCACCGCATGCCTAAACAGCTTTTGTTCGGCCGGATCGAGGGGGCTAGACGGGCGCGGCACGGGCTGGAGAAGAGATGGAGTGATGTGGTACAGGAGGACGTGGAGCTGAGTGGACTTGCCGATGACTGGTACCAGCGGTGTCAAGATCGACCTCAGTGGAGGAGGCTCGTGAAGGACGCTACTGGGCAGTTGGAGGCAGTCGCCCTCCAACAACAACGGAGGGCGGAGGAGCGACGCTCACAACAACGAGCGGAGCGCCGGGTGGCTAAAGCACAGCAAGTTGGCACAGTAGGGGGCACAGGTGGTGCATCAGCCAGTCATCTCGGTCATCTCGGTCAGTCGACCCGTGGCACCTGGGTCTGCCCCGTGACCTCCTGCCAGCGGGCTTTCGACACTTCACGTGGCCTCAAGGTGCACTTGGCCTGGCACAAGCATCGTGGTGACGTCACCGCCACTTAGTGGCGAATGGCGGTTGTTGTTGTGTACAGGTGTGTGTGTGTACAGGTGTGTGTGTGTACAGGTGTGTGTCTGTGTGTGTACAGGTGTGTGTGTGTACAGGTGTGTGTCTGTGTGTGTACAGGTGTGTGTGTGTACAGGTGTGTGTCTGTGTGTGTACAGGTGTGTGTGTGTACAGGTGTGTGTGTGTACAGGTGTGTTTGTGTACAGGTGTGTGTGTGTACAGGTGTGTGTGTGTACAGGTGTGTGTGTGTGTACAGGTGTGTGTGTGTGTGTACAGGTGTGTGTGTGTACAGGTGTGTGTGTGTACAGGTGTGTGTGTGTACAGGTGTGTGTGTGTACAGGTGTGTGTGTGTACAGGTGTGTGTGTGTACAGGTGTGTGTGTGTACAGGTGTGGGTGTGTGTGTGTACAGGTGTGTGTCTGTGTGTGTACAGGTGTGTGTCTGTGTGTGTACAGGTGTGTGTCTGTGTGTACAGGTGTGTGTCTGTGTGTGTACAGGTGTGTGTCTGTGTGTGTACAGGTGTGTGTCTGTGTGTGTACAGGTGTGTGTGTGTACAGGTGTGTGTCTGTGTGTGTACAGGTGTGTGTCTGTGTGTGTACAGGTGTGTGTCTGTGTGTGTACAGGTGTGTGTGTGTACAGGTGTGTGTCTGTGTGTGTACAGGTGTGTGTCTGTGTGTGTACAGGTGTGTGTCTGTGTGTGTATGACTGGGGAGCGGTGGTGTAGTGGTTAGCGCTACGCTGCGCTATGAACCCGGCGACCCGGGTTCGATTCCCGCTCACGGCCAACACCAACAGTGACGATTATCTGAACTGGTCCCGGGCCTCCCCTAGGTCGACTCGGCCTCAAATGAGTACCTGGTGCGGTGTGTAAACATCGCCACTGGGGAGACAAAGGCGGCCGGGCGTAGTGCTGGCCACCCACCCCCTCGTGTGCCGTGCCGGCCTTCATAGGTGCTCGCTAGCAGCACTTGCCCCTACAGTCTGTTAAGGCTACACGGGGGATCTTTGTCTTGATGGTGTGTTGGACCCAGAGTCGGCTCCGGTTTGACAGCAGAGGTCTTACTCCGAATCAGTCGAGCGGCATGATCTGTTTACCTTGGTGATCAATGCTGCTGCTGATGGTGATGATGACGATGGTGATGACGATGGTGATGATGATGGTGATGATGACGGTGATGATGATGACGGTTATGACGATGATGATGACGTCGACGATGATGACAATGGCGATGGTGTTGATGATGGTGATGATGATGGTGATGATGATGGTGATGATGATGACGACGATGGTGATGATGATGGTGATGATGATGGTGATGATGACAATGGTGATGATGATGACAATGGTGATGGTGATGACGACGATAGTGATGACGATGGTGATGATGATGGTGTTGATGATGACGGTGATGATGATGACAATGGCGATGGTGTTGGTGATGATGGTGATGATGGTGATGATGGTGATGATGATGACAATGGTGATGGTGATGACAATGGTGATGGTGATGACGACGATGATGATGGTAATGGTGGTGATGATGGTGATGATGGTGATGATGATGGTGATGATGATGGTGACGACGACGACAATGACGATGTCGACGATGACGACGACGATGACGACAGAGTGTTGCCGCCGCTACGGCGATCAATCCCGCCGCTGGCGACAGTAACCATGACAGCCGTGCTCCGTACCCCCACAGCTCTCCGCTGCTCCGGTCAGCCTCCAGAGGGTCCTGTCATCCGCCACGGCCGCCACCACCACCACCACCACGTTGGCAGCTTCGCGATCAACAGCAGCAGCCACCACCAACCCGACCCCTTCCATCGCCACCACCACCACCACCACCAGCGGCGTTAGCCCCGGCGTTCAGCAGCAGCAACAGCAGCAGCAGGAGCAGCTGCAGCTGCTGCAGCAACAGCAGCAGCAGCAGCAGCAGTTTGTATTGCCAAGCACCGTCACGCTGCAGCAAGAAGCGCCGGCTCCGGTTCTCGGCAGCGCCGCTGGAAGCATCGGAAGCGCCGCTGGAAGCGCCGTGGGAAGCATCGAAAGCATCGGAAGCGCCGCTGGGATCACCGCGGGAAGCATCGGAAGCGCCGCTGGAAGCGCCGTGGGAAGCATCGGAAGCATCGAAAGCATCGGAAGCGCCGCTGGGATCACCGCGGGAAGCGCTTCTCCCGGTGGGGCGTCGCTAGCCGCTACCGGGAGTTTGCCGGGAGCGCCGCGTGAGCGCCGTTTGCCCGCGGCTATCCCCGGAGGGACGGTGCGCCACTTGGGGCCCGGCGCTGGCGGCGCTCGCCCCGGCAGCGGCGTTAGTATCGCTGGCGTCTCTCCGCAGCTCAGCAGCCTGACTCGGGGGCAGCTGCTGCCGCAGCATGTCGGCGGTGGCGGTGGTGGTGGTGGCGGTGGTGGTGGCGGTGGTGGTGGCGGTGGTGGTGGTGCCCTGCTGCTGCTGCAGCAGCTGCGTCTGCGCTGCAGCGTGGCGGAGGTGCGGCGTGCGCAGCTAGAAGGACTTGGAGGACGACACCGCCGCCTGCTGCGGGAGGCGCTCTTCCTCAAGGGGGGCGGCAACATGGTGGACTTCCCGGCCTTCTGTCGGAGGCCCGGACACTCGGCCGTCGCCACGCTGCAGCAGAACGAGTTGGAGAGCGGTGGCGGTGATGGTGGTGGCGGTGGTGGTGGTGGTGGTGCGGTGGTGGTGGTGGAGAAGCAGCAGCAGGGTGGAGGTGGTGGTGGTGGAGTCCTGGTGGACGAGTCGAGGTGCCGCGTGATTAACGACGAGGTGAGAGTGGTGAGGGAGGGGGGGTGAGTGTGGTGAAGGTGAGTGGGGGGTGAGCGGTGGTGGGGGGATGGGTGAGTGTGGTGAGCTAGCGGTGAGCGAGTGGTGAAGGTGAGTGGGGGGGTGGGTGGTGGTGGCGGGGTGGGTGAGAGCGGTGAGCGAGTGGTGGTGAAGGGGGGAGATGGGTGAGTGTTGTGAGGGTGAGTGGGGGGTGAGTGAGGGGGGGTGAGTGAGGGTGAGTGGGGTGGGTGAGTGGTGAGGGGGGGTGAGTGGTGAGGATGAGTGGGGGGGTGGGTGAGTGGTGAGGGTGAGTGGGGGGGGGGAGGCAGAGGTCGCAAACGGGTTTTGATTCCTTACCCGTACCCGGCCGCACCAGGGTCGCAAACAGGTACCCGTACCCGGCCGGGTACGGGTAGCCGGGTATCGGTAGGGTACGGGTATCAGGTAGGGTACGGGTAGGGTACGGGTATCGGGTAGGGTACGGGTAGGGTATCGGGTAGGGTACGGGTATCGGGTAGGGTACGGGTAGGGTATCGGGTATCGGGTACCCGGTTGCGACCTCTGGGGGGGGGGTGAGTGGTGAGGCTGAGTGAGTGGTGAGTGAGTGGTGAGGGTGAGTGAGTGGTGAGTGAGTGGTGAGTGGTGAGTGAGTGAGTGAGTGGTGAGTGAGTGGTGAGTGAGTGAGTGTTGAGTGAGTGAGTGAGTGGTGAGTGAGTGAGTGGTGAGTGAGTGGTGAGTGAGTGGTGAGTGAGTGAGTGGTGACCTCCCCCGACAGGTGAAGGTGGTGAGTGAGTGGTGAGTGAGTGGTGAGTGAGTGGTGAGTGAGTGGTGAGTGAGTGAGTGGTGAGTGAGTGGTGAGTGAGTGGTGAGGGTGAGTGAGTGGTGAGTGAGTGGTGAGTGAGTGGTGAGTGAGTGGTGAGTGAGTGGTGAGTGAGTGGTGAGTGAGTGGTGACCTCCCCCGACAGGTGAAGGTGGTGAGTGGTGGGTGAGTGAGTGGTGAGTGAGTGAGTGAGTGGTGAGGGTGAGTGAGTGGTGAGTGGTGAGTGAGTGGTGAGTGAGTGGTGACCTCCCCCGACAGGTGAAGGTGGTGAGTGGTGGTAGTGAGTGAGTGGTGAGTGGTGAGTGAGTGGTGAGTGAGTGGTGAGGCGTGGTGAGGGTGAGTGAGTGTGAGTGGTGAGTGAGTGGTGACCTCCCCCGACAGGTGAAGGTGGTGAGTGGTTGGGTGAGTGAGTGGGTGATTGTGAGTGAGTGAGTGTGAGTGAGTGGTGAGTGATTGGTGAGTGAGTGGTGGGGGTGAGATGTGAGTGGTGGGTGAGTGGTGAGTGAGTGAGTGAGTGGTGGTGAGTGGTGAGTGGTGGGTGAGTGAGTGGTGAGTGGTGGAGTGAGTGAGTGAGTGGTGTGGTGGTGAGTGATGTGAGTGAGTGGTGAGTGAGTGAGTGAGTGAGTGAGTGGTGAGTGAGTGGGTGAGTGAGTGTGAGTGAGTGATGAGTGGTGAGTGGATGGTGAGTGAGTGAGTGGTGAGTGTGAGTGAGTGGTGAGTGAGTGTGAGTGAGTGAGTGGTGAGTGTGAGTGAGTGAGTGGTGAGTGAGTGAGTGGTGAGTGAGTGAGTGGTGAGTGAGTGAGTGGTGAGTGAGTGAGTGGTGAGTGAGTGAGTGGTGAGTGAGTGAGTGGTGAGTGAGTGAGTGGTGAGTGAGTGAGTGGTGAGTGAGTGAGTGGTGAGTGATGTGAGTGAGTGAGTGGTGAGTGAGTGAGTGGTGAGTGAGTTGAGTGAGTGTGAGTGATTGAGTGGTGAGTGAGTGAGTGTGAGTGAGTGAGTGAGTGGTGAGTGAGTGAGTGAGTGGTGAGTGAGTGAGTGAGTGAGTGAGTGGTGAGTGAGTGAGTGGTGAGTGAGTGAGTGGTGAGTGAGTGAGTGGTGAGTGAGTGTGAGTGAGTGAGGGTGAGTGAGTGAGTGAGTGAGTAGTGAGTGAGTGGTGAGTGAGTGGTGAGTGAGTGGTGACCTCCCCCAACAGTTGAAGGTGGTGAGTGGTGGGTGAGTGGTGAGTGAGTGAGTGAGTGGTGAGTGAGTGAGTGGTGAGTGAGTGGTGAGTTAGTGGTGACCTCCCCCGACAGGTGAAGGTGGTGAGTGGTGAGTGAGTGAGTGAGTGGTGAGTGAGTGAGTGAGTGGTGAGTGAGTGAGTGGTGAGTGAGTGGTGAGTGAGTGAGTGGTGAGGGTGAGTGAGTGGTGAGTGAGTGGTTTCTGTGGGTCTGGGTGTCTGTGGGTCTCTATGGGTCTGGGTGTCTGTGGGTCTCTGTGGGTCTGGGTGTCTGTGGGTCTGGGTGTCTGTGTGGGTCTGGGTGTCTGTGTGGGTCTGGGTGTCTTGTGGGTTTCTGTGGGTCTGGGTTTTTGTGGGTCTCTGTGGGTCTGTGGGTCTCTGCGGGTTTCTGTGGGTATCTGGGTGTCTGTGGATCTCTGGATCTGGGTGTCTCTATGGGTCTCTATGGGTCTGGGTCTCTATGGGCTCTATGGGTCTGGGTGTCTCTGTGGGTCTCTATGGGTCTGGGTTTCTCTATGGGTCTCTATGGGTCTGGGTGTCTCTATGGGTCTCTATGGGTCTGGGTGTCTCTATGGGTCTCTATGGGTCTGGGTGTCTCTATGGGTCTCTATGGGTCTGGGTGTCTCTATGGGTCTCTATGGGTCTGGGTGTCTCTATGGGTCTCTATGGGTCTGGGTTTCTCTATGGGTCTCTGGGTCTCTATGGGTCTGGTTGTCTGTATGGGTCTCTGGGTCTGGGTGTCTCTGTGGGTCTCTATGGGTCTGTGGGTCTGGGTGTCTGTGGGTGTCTCTATGGGTCTCTGGGTCTGGGTGTCTCTGTGGGTCTCTATGGGTCTGGGTGTCTCTATGGGTCTCTGTGGGTCTCTATGGGTCTGGGTGTCTCTGTGGGTCTCTGTAGGTCTCTATGGGTCTGTGGGTCTGGGTGTCTGTGGGTGTCTCTATGGGTCTCTATGGGTCTCTGGGTCTGTGGGTCTCTGTGGGTCTGGGTGTCTGTGGGTGTCTATGGGTCTCTATGGGTCTGGGTGTCTCTATGGGTCTCTATGGATCTCTATGGGTCTGGGTGTCTCTGTGGGTCTCTATGGGTCTGTGGGACTCTGTGGGTCTCTGGGTCTGGGTGTCTCTGTGGGTCTCTCTGGGTCTGGGTGTCTCTGTGGGTCTCTATGGGTCTCTATGGGTCTGGGTGTCTCTGTGGGTCTCTATGGGTCTCTATGGGTCTGGGTGTCTCTGTGGGTCTCTATGGGTCTCTATGGGTCTCTATGGGTCTGGGTGTCTCTGTGGGTGTCTCTATGGGTCTGGGTGTCTCTGTGGGTTTCTATGGGTCTGGGTGTCTCTGTGGGTCTCTGTGGGTGTCTCTGTGGGTCTCTATGGGTCTGGGTGTCTCTGTGGGTCTCTGTGGGTGTCTCTGTGGGTCTCTATGGGTCTGGGTGTCTCTATGGGTCTGGGTGTCTCTGTGGGTCTCTATGGGTCTGGGTGTCTCTGTGGGTCTCTATGGGTCTCTATGGGTCTGAGTGTTTCTGTGGGTCTCTATGGGTCTGGGTGTCTCTGTGGGTCTCTATGGGTCTCTATGGGTCTCTATGGGTCTGGGTGTCTCTGTGGGTCTCTATGGGTCTCTATGGGTCTGAGTGTCTCTATGGGTCTGGGTGTCTCTGTGGGTCTCTATGGGTCTCTATGGGTCTCTATGGGTCTGGGTGTCTCTATGGGTATCTCTATGGGTGTCTCTGTGGGTCTCTGTGGGTCTCTATGGTTCTCTATGGGTCTGGGTGTCTCTGTGGGTCTCTATGGGTCTGGGTGTCTCTGGGTGTCTCTCTGGGTGTCTCTGGGTGTCTCTGGGTCCGTACGTAACCAACCGTGATGGCCGGATGTGACCTCTGTGTGGGTCATCGGTGAGTGACCTCTGCCCCCCCCCCTTCCCCCGTAGCAGGAGGGTGCCGTGCTGAGGATCTGCCAATGCACCGCTCCCACAACTGTTCCCTCCTCCTCATCATTATCATCAGCGCCACCATCAGCAGCAGCACCACCATCAGCATCATCAGCACCACCATCATCATCAGCATCATCAGCACCACCATCAGCATCAGCAGCAGCACCACCACCATCATCATCAGCACCACCACCATCAGCACCAGCATCATCAGCACCACCAGCATCAGCAGCACCACCATCATCAGCACCACTACCAGCACCATCATCAGCAGCACCACCACCATCAGCACCACCACCACCACCATCATCAGCACCACCACCACCATCAGCACTACCACCACCATCATCATCAGCGTCGCTGTCATCAGCAGTGGCGATGGCGTCGTCGTCGGTGACGTCATCGGCGTCGCCCCAGCTGCCGTCTCCCATGGCAACGGCGTCGGCGGTCGCCGTGACGACCGCATCGCCTGCCGCTGGTGGTGGCAGCGGCCAACGTGAGTGGTGGTGACGGTGGTGATGGTGGTGACGGTGGTGGTGGTGACGGTGGTGACGGTGGTGACGGTGGTGACGGTGGTGACGGTGGTGGTGGTGACGGTGGTGGTGGTGGTGACGGTGGTGGTGGTGACGGTGGTGGTGGTGGTGACGGTGGTGGTGGTGACGGTGGTGGTGGTGACGGTGGTGGTGACGGTGGTGGTGGTGACGGTGGTGGTGGTGACGGTGGTGGTGGTGACGGTGGTGGTGGTGACGGTGGTGGTGGTGACGGTGGTGGTGACGGTGGTGGTGGTGACGGTGACGATGGTGATGGTGGTGGTGATGATGGTGATGATGGTGATGATGGTGGTGGTGGTGGTGATGATGGTGATGATGGTGGTGGTGGTGGTGATGATGGTGATGATGGTGGTGGTGGTGGTGATGATGGTGATGAAGGCTGTGGTCAGGACGATGATCACTAGGATGCCATAACCCATGACCCCCCCCTCTCCTCCCCCACTACCGCCCCCCCCACCACTCCCCCCCCCCCGTCTCCCACGACCTCCGACCCCACCGCCCCCACCCGCACTTCCTGCAGCGGCGGCCGTGGCGTCCCGAGCGCTCCTCCTCCTCCTCCACGCTGCTGCTACAGCTGCTGCTGCTGCTGCTCCTGCTGCTGCTGCTGCTCCTGCTGCTGCTGCTCCTGCTGCTGCTGCTGCTGCTCCTGCTGCTGCTGCCGCTGCTGCTGCTCCTGCTGCTGCTGCTCCTGCTGCTGCTGCTCCTGCCGCTGATGCTGCTCCTGCTGCTGCTGCTCCTGCTGCTGCTGACGCTGCCCAGCTGACGGCTCCGCTGCTACCGGCACCACCACGACCGCTGACGGTGACAACCCCGTTGACAACCCCGGTGACGACGCCGGTGACAACGCCGGTGACGGTGACAACGCCGGTGACAACGCCTCCTCGGCTGTCCGGGGATGAGGAAGTGAAGACGGAGGATGACCCTGCAAGACAGGCACAGATGGTGCGGGGAGACACGGAGAGACGTGGGGAGACACGGAGACACGGGGAGATACGGGGAGATGTGGGGAGACATTGGGAGACACGGGGAGACACAGAGACACGGGGAGAGACGGGGAGAGATGGGGAGACACGGAGAGACACTGGGAGACACTGGGAGACGCGGGGAGACACGGAGACACGGGGAGAGATGGGGGGACACGGAGAGACACGGGGGGACACTGGGAGACACGGGGAGAGATGGGGAGACACGGAGAGACACTGGGAGACACTGGGAGACACGGGGAGAGATGGGGAGACACTGGGAGACACGGGGAGACGCGGGGAGACACGGGGAGAGATGGGGGGACACGGAGAGACACGGGGGGACACGGAGAGACACGGGGGAGACGTGAAGATGGAGGATGACCCTGCAAGACAGGCACAGATGGTGCGGAGAGACACGGAGAGACGCGGGGAGACACGGGGAGACGCGGGGAGACGCGGGGGAGACGTGAAGATGGAGGATGACCCTGCAAGACAGGCACAGATGGTGCGGGGAGACACGGGGACTGGGGAGACACGGGGAGACGCGGAGAGACACGGGGAGACACGGGGAGACATGGGGGAGGCACGGGGGAGACACGGGGGAGACACGGGGGAGAGACACGGGGGAGACACGGGGGAGACACGGGGGAGACACGGGGGAGAGACACGGGGGAGACACGGGGGAGACACGGGGGAGTACATAGGTGGTGCTACTCAATGTTACTAACAGCACTTGACCCTACAGTCTATTAAGGTGTCTGCGTGTGTGTGTGTGCGGTTTGTGTGTGTGTCTGCGTGTGTGCGCGCGTGTGTGCGTGTGTCTGTGCGTGTGTGTGTGTGCGGTGTATGTGTGGTGTGTGTGTGGTGTGTGCGTGTCTGTGTGTGCATGTGTGTGTGTGGTGTGAGTCTGTGTGTGTCTGCGTGCGGTGCGTGTGTGTGTGTGTCACTGTGTGTGTGTGTCACTGTGTGTGTCACTGTGTGTGTCACTGTGTGTGTGTGTCACTATGTGTGTCACTGTGTGTGTCACTGTGTGTGTGTGTCACTGTGTGTGTCACTGTGTGTGTGTGTGTGTGTCACTGTGTGTGTGTGTCACTGTGTGTGTGTGTGTGTGTCACTGTGTGTGTGTGTCACTGTGTGTGTCACTGTGTGTGTCACTGTGTGTGTCACTGTGTGTGTCACTGTGTGTGTGTGTGTGTCACTGTGTGTGTCACTGTGTGTGTGTGTAGGAGGCGAGCGTGATGGAGCGAGTGTGGAGCCTGCGCAAGGCCGGGTTGTGGGCACCGCAGCGTCTGCCCCGCGTGGCCGACCCTCCACGTCCACGCGCACACTGGGACTGCCTGCTGCAGGTGAGTGTGTGTGTGTGTCACTGTGTGTACGTGTGTGTGTGTGTACGTGTCACTGTGTGTGCGTGTGGCCGACCCTCCACGTCCACGCGCACACTGGGACTGCCTGCTGCAGGTGAGTGTGTGTGTGTGTCACTGTGTGTACGTGTGTGTGTGTACGTGTATGTGTGTGTACGTGTCACTGTGTGTGTGCGTGTGGCCGACCCTCCACGTCCACGCGCACACTGGGACTGCCTGCTGCAGGTGAGTGTGTGTGTGTGTCACTGTGTGTACGTGTGTGTGTGTACGTGTGTGTGTGTGTACGTGTCACTGTGTGTGTGCGTGTGGCCGACCCTCCACGTCCACGCGCACACTGGGACTGCCTGCTGCAGGTGAGTGTGTGTGTGTGTCACTGTGTGTACGTGTGTGTGTGTACGTGTGTGTGTGTGTACGTGTCACTGTGTGTGCGTGTGGCCGACCCTCCACGTCCACGCGCACACTGGGACTGCCTGCTGCAGGTGAGTGTGTGTGTGTCACTGTGTGTACGTGTGTGTGTGTACGTGTGTGTGTGTACGTGTCACTGTGTGTGTGCGTGTGGCCGAGCCTCCACGTCCACGCGCACACTGGGACTGCCTGCTGCAGGTGAGTGTGTGTGTGTGTGTCTGTGTGTGTGTGTGTGTACGTGTGTGTGTGTGTACGTGTCACTGTGTGTGTGCGTGTGGCAGAGCCTCCACGTCCACGCGCACACTGGGACTGCCTGCTGCAGGTGAGTGTGTGTGTGTGTGTCACTGTATGTGTGTGTGTACGTGTGTGTGTGTGTGTACGTGTCACTGTGTGTGTGCGTGTGGCCGACCCTCCACGTCCACGCGCACACTGGGACTGGCCTGCTGCAGGTGAGTGTGTGTGTGTGTCACTGTGTGTACGTGTGTGTGTGTGTACGTGTGTGTCACTGTGTGTGTGTGTACGGGTGTGTCACTGTGTGTGTGTCACTGTGTGTATGGTGTCACTGTGTGGTGTCTTGTGTGTGTGTCACTGTGTGTGTGTCACTGTGTGTGTGTCATTGTGTGTGTGTGTCACTGTGTGTGTGTGTACGTGTGTGTGTATGTGTCTGTGTGTGTGTGTGCCACTGTGTGTGTGTCGTGTGTGTCACTGTGTGTGTGTCACTGTGTGTGTGTGTGTGTCACTGTGTGTACGTGTGTCTGTGTGTGTCACTGTGTGTGTCACTGTGTGTGTCACTGTGTGTCTGTGTTGTGTGTGTCACTGTATGTGTGTCACTGTGTGTGTCACTGTGTGTGTGTCACTGTGTGTGTCACTGTGTGTGTCACTGTGTGTCTGTGTGTGTGTGTGTCACTGTATGTGTCACTGTGTGGGTCACTGGGTGTGTCCTGTGGTGTCACTGTGTGTGTCACTGTGTGTGTATCTGTGTGTCCTGTGTGTGATCACTGTCACTGTGTGTGTGTGTCACTGTGTGTGTGGTGTGTCACTGTGTGTGTCACTGTGTGTGTCACTTGTGTGTGTGTCACTGTGTGTGTCTGTGTGTCCTGTGTGTCTGTGTGTAGGAGATGGAGTGGATGGCTGAGGACTTTGCCCAGGAGCGACGATGGAAATCGCTGCGGCCAAGACGGTGGCGGCCACAAACACAACAACAAACACAACCACAACAACAACCACAACAACAACCACAACAACAACCACAACAACCACAACAACAACAACAACCACAACAACAACCACAACAACAACCACAACAACAACCACAACAACAACCACAACAACAACCACAACAACAAACACAACAACAAACACAACAACAAACACAACAACAACCACAACAACAACAACAACCACAACAACAACAACCACAACAACAACAACCACAACCACAACAACAACCACAACCACAACAACAACCACAACAACAACCACAACACACGTCCCCGTGTCTCTCTCACCTCCCCGTGTCCTCCCCACGCAGCTGTGCGTGTCGGTGTCTCTCCCCGTGTCCTCTCGTCACCTCCCCGCATCTCCCCGGTCTCTCCATCACCTCCCCGTGGTCTCCCCCACGCCAGCTGTGCGTGTCGGTGTCTCCCCCGTGTCTCTCTCACCTCCCCGCAATCGCCCGTGTCTCTCCTCACCTCCCGTGTCTCTCCCACGCGCTTTGCGGGTCGGTGTCGCCCCCGTGTCTCTCCTAACTCACCTCCACCGCTCTCCCCTGGTCCTCTCTCACCTTCCCGGTCTCCCCACGCCGCTGTGCGTGTCGGTGTCTCCCCCGTGTCTCTCTCACCTCCCCTGAGGTTCTCTCTCCCCACAGCTGTGCGTGTCGGTGTCT